ATTAGTGATGTCTAAATACTCTTAGAAAGTACATATGACTCGGAAAAATCACATTGGTACATGCCAGGGCCAGGATCAAACAAGCGCCCTCGTGCATGAGAGGCGGGCCTTTTAACCACTAGGCCACCACTGACTTATAAAATACATAATATATATTGTATATTTCATAATATATACTGTGGTTGTATTGTAAATATTGTTTGAAATTTTAATAATCTAATGTTTCAAAGTTTTGTAGCTTTTAAAATTTAGAAATAATATAATTAGATTTATAAAAAAAACAACCCTGAAAAAAGACTAATCCTAATAATATTCTTATAAATTACAAGTCAGTCATGTCATACATCCATTAGAATCTCCATAACTCGCTCTTCAGCAGAAACGTTAAAAAATTCTTGTAAATTTTCGACTTAGCAAAAAGTTTGAGATACGAAGGATTTATTTCACTGCTGAAATTTCGACGCCCAAGGATGTTTCTTAATTTCAAGAATCAAATATAAATAAAATTCGACTTAACTTTTATGGTAAATACTTATTTATTAAAACTTACTTATTTATTAAAATACATATTAGAAAAATATTTATATTAATAACATATGAAGGCCGTTCCGTATTAGACACAGGCTCTCAGTCACACAAGATCTCCTTATATTGGTGCTTGTAATAATTGGATCGAGTTACAAGTGGTACTTTATGAGATTATGAATTTGGGTACGTTTATTGTAAATACTCCGTATTTTATGAGAGCTTGGCTTATAATGAATTCATTAATAAATATTAATTAATTAAATTCACCTATCTCTGACACCTGTCTTAATTAAAATAGATCATTCTTTTTAAAACTCGCGCTTGTTGGAGTAGATATTGATATATGAAATTGGTTTCTCTTCGGGAGTCATGTCTGACCTAAAATTTATTATATATACTTGATAGTGCAGGAAGCTCTTTCATGAGTGAATAATATAAGTCCATGTGAGGAAAGAATAATATAAGTCCATGTGAGAGAAAATACTAGGATACTTACTATGTAACTTATTTTCATAAATATAAACTGATCTTTTTCCTTTTAAATATCGGGTCATAAAATGAAAATCTATTCTTTACTTCCAAGAAATAGGAAAATATTTTTTTTCTCTATCTCAATTACCGCTTGCTCCTTGACACGATACTTTAAGTGTGCTCCATTACTTTGTTCGTCTTAATTTTTTACCCACGAGTCACGATATTATGTATAACCTTCTTCCTTGTATGAGCTTTTGCTTTACCTTTTTTTATTTACAAGTGGGTTTATAATTTGTGTTAAGATGGAACAAGGTTCTTAAAGACTTTGAATTTTATACATTTTAATGTTATAGACTTTAGCTAACTTTTCTGTTCTAACTAAATAATTTAAAGATATTCATTTCATTTTTGTTTTATTATTCACTTATTTTAACAATATTTTTAATAAACATAAACCTTAATAATATTAAGGCAAATCTGTGTGATGAATATAAAATAATTTACCTAAAAACAATTTCTTAGATAGGTAAAGGAACATTAAATTCAAAATAATACCCCCCTTTACATTGGCGTTCTTGTCATATTATTGTTTAAATTATTTACTTCATAACATTTTACATATTCACACATACATCTTTTTGATTCGGACTCTTGATGTCAGATCAAAGCAGCAATAATATTACTTATTATATTTTAGACTTTTTGCTAGTATTCGTTTAAACAAAACTAATGTACTATCGTGTTATTTTATTTTAAACAACATACTCCTGACGTTTTGGTAGCTTTGAAGCAACCATGATCACGGGCAGACAAAATGAAAATCATCTCATGAAAATGTTAGTTTTATGGTGATATTGCTATCAATTAATGATTTAAGGTATCTATTTACTGACAGGGATACTTGCTAGTACTATATCTAAAAATGTACTCCCAAATAATGAAAAAAGAAAAAGACTTTAATTTATCTTCTTATCCCTGGGAATTTCCCAGCTTTAGCCAGGGTCTGCCTTATATGTTATGAATAGTTTTTGCTAATTCTTTTTACGACCTGCCGCCTACCTGACATCAACCCTCTTTGGGAATGCATTAATCAGTGATGTCTAAATACTCTTAGAAAGTAGGTACATATAATTCGGAAAAACATTAGTACATACTTGCCCGGGCCAGGATCGAACCCACGCCCTCGTGCATAAGACGCGGGCCTTTTAACCACTAGGCCAAATCTGACTCTAAAAGATCTTAATTTATATTACTTAATAATGATTTCAATTTCTATAACATCTAACATTTTTCGATAGAGCATTAAAAATGACAGAATCCATACAACATGCATAATATACCTAAGTTTGAATTTACAAACGTAACAGAAAACTTGAAAAGTGTTTTCTGTCAGAAGCAATTCTTCTTCTCTGAATACTGACAAACTCTTTCTTACAATAATAATCAAGAATAATACGCAATAATTACAAAAATATTAGTTGAACTATTAAAATTCATTTAAAAATAACTTTACTTACCTTAAATGTGATTAATTTTGATATTGAAATTTTATTCTAAGTTCAATTCAATTATATCTTATCTTCAGGATTCTGGCAAGACGAAAAATATTATTAATATCAATTCGGAATTCATCTTGTACACATTACATGTTGCCAAGTATAAAGCGGATTGAAATATGTATATCCTACGGAATAATACATTTCTATAACAAAAGTCTTTTTAATCTTCCATTCGTACTCGACGTGATGTGAAAATGATTTGTGTTCTTAAAAGGTAAATCCTTTAATACCGTCTCTTGACATCGTGATAAGGCAACGTTTATTCTTATAATGTAATATTGTCACTGTAATAAGCTTATAAGAAGAGAAATCTTATTAAGCATTTTACAACATATTATCTGAAGTTTACTAAGGCCCGACACGTTTTTATAGACAAACGATGTAAATTTATATTTCACAATTTAAGGGTTTAAATAAGTACCTTATTTTCTACACCATAAGGAATAGTCATGACTTAAAAATTAGTATCCTATTTCGTTAGAAGTTAAAAATTTATATATATATGATATTTCTTAAAATGGTGTTGTGATAATTAAAATATGTAATGGACTAAGCTGGATTAGGCTATTAGCAATATGTTACGAGCCAAGTCTGTTTATCTTCGTAATTAACTAGCAAAGTGTCTACATGGTTACCGGCATTGGTATTTATAATATAAAAATTTATAATATAAAAATTATTAATATACAATGATTATAACGTAAAAAGCCTCATATAAAATAACTTATTGCACTCAAAACTCTTTAATTTTCTTGAAATAATCATATAAATTTAATATCAGCTAAGAAATTATCAAAATAATATTTCTATATTTAAATTACATGAAATTGAAAACAAAAGTATCCAACAATGTTTGTAACATGAATAAAAGATTCCAAAAGAGAAAAGGGTTTTCAATTTTAACAGAAAACTTCTTATAAAAAGTTTTATTACAGAAACTTAAGGAGAATATTTATATTGTATTTAGAGATATCGAATTTTGCAATGCATTTTATTTAAGTAAATCTCTACATTCTGAATTATGATTCATATTCTTTCCATGTACAATTTCAATTACTACGTAAAGAGCAAACTTTTATGATGTGTATTAATATTTTGAGGACCCACGTCAATGTTTTGCAGGAAAATTAAAAGGTATGTTCTTAAAACAAAAACGTTAAGAAATATTTTTTTTCATCACATAGGTATAGGATCGATAGATCGAAAAAGGTTTTATAAATCATGCAGTAGTAGTAATTCCAATCTAAAATATTTGAAAGAAGGTAAGGAATACCATTTTAAAAATTTAATAGAAATATACAGAAAAATATAGCCTATTTTGTAATCTGAACTAAATTAATTTTGTTTAAATCAATGAATGAATCGTTTAATATATTGGAGCATTTTAAAACTGTTAATTTATTATATATGCAGGATTTAACGCATCGCCAGTTATTTTCAACAGACGTAACGAATTCAAATTTTTCACACGTCATTTCATTTACAGTTTTAAACAAGTTCATTTGCAAATACAAATTTTAACTTTTTTTATGTATAATGAAATTCAAAGATTTTATTCTAGAGCATTAAGTAGTAAAAAAATTACTTATTTTTTTACTTGTATGATTCATCAATCATCTTTCTGTGAGTAAACTCGAAAGTACGCATCGAAAGTCATGTAATTGACTTAGAACCTCTTCGTATTTCAAAATGAGTGCCAATAGCATTGACAGCTGAAGTGTGGTAGTAAACGGAAAGTTTTATGCAGACACCCTCTGCGTTACCTCAAGCTTTTCTTGTAAAGCATACACTTTCTGTTCAGATGGGATTTTAATATGGATTATTTCAATGGTCGTAAAACTTTTACATAGAGTCAGGTTGAGTGGATTTGTTTTAGAAATTATCTCTTATAACTTTTTGTCTTTTTCTTTACAAAGTATATTAAAAACACGAAAAGAAAATGTATTTCTAATTTCTAATTTCTAAATAGGAAAAATCACCTCATAATTGTAAATTTTTAATACTATGCCGTCTTACTCCGGGTTCTAATATGATCAGACATGAGTCTGATGAGTTGAATTGAGTTAAATTATCATGAGACAATCTAGCTATCATGGTATTTTTTTATATTTTCAAGATGCCTGATTTTAGAAATATTTAAAACTAAACTTACAATAAAAAGTATTGAATTAAATAACTTTGTAATCTGTACAAAGATTACTGGCTCTTAATACAAAATTTAAGGAGTACAAAATCAATATGAAGACCAAAAACAGGATTAAAAATAATTTTATTTGATAAATATTCAATGATTAGCAAAACAAGCAAACAACACAAAAACAACACAAACAAACAAAAAAGATGATTTTATGTAATATGAATATTGGTGTACATATAGTAAGTGAGGCAAAAAAACAAGTCTAAATATTAATGGACATAAATCAGCAACAGCTTCTGGCCTCAATCAAAAGATATTTGCTTTCTTGTAACAGGTGTGTTTTTGTTAGGCAAAAACCTCCTCCTGGGTCTGCAGTACTTAGTTTGATAGCAGACGTAAGTGGGAGATGAGCATTCCAGCATACATGCACATCCCGATGAACATTCAGTGAAGTTTGGCGGGCAATAATTCGGAGGAGCACTACCCGGACATGGGTCTACGCAATAAGCCTTATCGCAAATTAGGTCTGAAAAACAAAGGATATATAGATAGATAAGTATATATAGATAATATACTTTGCTTCTTCGACAGAGCATTTGTTGAATTCTGTTTACTGTTTTATTCTAAAGAGGATTTTATCGGACTATTTCCTGAAAAGGTTTTCTACTCGTGTCTCACTGCTTCGTGAAATTGCAGGAAATTTTCTACGTCATTTTACCTACTTATATTGAACAGTGAAAAAAGAAGCTATTTTTTATAAGAATAGCTTTACTTCGTTAAGTATGGGTATGAAATAATAATAAAATCTTATAATATCTAAGGTATTTTATTATAAGTTCTACCTCATTTTATTTATGGTTGATTTTTGAATAGGCTTATTACTAGACAATAATACCTTCCGACTCGCCTGCTTCATTTCCAACCCATGGAGACCAATCTTCTTGTCCCAATGTTTGGGTGATCATTGCTAAAGCGAGGACACTAAATAATTTAACTGACATGATTTTCTCCTTGCACAAAAATTTGTTATTTTGATTTTTCAGTCACAAAAGATTACATGTTAAGAATATTCTTTTTACGTCACACTTGAGTGACTTAAAGGAGGTTAAGCTTAGTGATGAGGATTTATATTAAAACTATAAATATGGTAGATGTTCTTCTTTTGACTCAATTTGAGTAAAATCAACTGAAATTATGTCAAAGAATGTAAATTAAGAGTTGTTAGAATTAAATTATGATAAAATTATGCGCATAAATATGAACATACTTTTATTTATGATATAAATATATCTAATGTTTCAAACTTGTATTAATATGAATTTGACTCAATATATAAAGTCATTAGCCTAATGAAGTGTATAAAAGATTGTCAAAAAAGGTATAAATGTAAATAGAAAATCTTAAAATAGAAATGAATTTACAGAGATTTATTTATTGTTTCTTTTTTATTTCTATTATGCTCAATATCAAATGACAATGAAAGAGGTTAATTTTGATAAGTTTTGGTTATTTATTTAAATAATTGTTTGAATTTGAATAATATATAAAATTTATTCATGAAAAGTGTGATTTTAAGTGTACAACAATATCAAATAAATACATCAAAGTATAAGTGGATTTAATAGAAATAATCAAAAATATTGAAGATAATAAATTTTACGTAAAAGACTAAAATATAATCAATAAGATAAAGATACATTTTTCTAAAAGTGTATTGGTATTGAAAAATTTAAAACATATAATAAGTATTTACATTTATAATATTGAAATGCTTTAACTTTGAAGCAACTCAAAATATAACAATACTATAGAAAAACAAAAATAAAATGTTTGGTGTTAGAAATTAAATTCTCATACGTATTTTTTTCCATTGAAGAAATAAAACATGTGAAATGCCTTACATTGCCAAAATAGGAATAAAAATATATTGTTAGAATTGAACAAAAGTATAAGAAAACGGTCTATAAATAATCGAAGACTTGTAGAAGTTAGAGGTGAAGGTGAATACATTTTTAATACTATGAGATAAAATAACAGTTTAACGGACTGGAAATTTGGGATCATTGAAATAAATAAAGTTCAAGTTTTGGGATATTCAGTGAACAATGTAGCAAGAACTCATTAAGAGAGTAAATAGTTCGTAAATTTTCATTAAACATTTAGCTTTACGAGAAAGAGAAATTAGTATATTACATGTTAGAATTAAATTCCACTGATTTAGGTTAAAATTACGTAATAAATAATTAAATTGTGTCAATAATACAGTAACGAAGATATACAGAAGTATATGTTTAAGTATGTTACTATAAAATTAATATACTTTTACACATATAAAAAAAATATAATTTATTAATCAAATCCTTCTTTCGAATACTAGAAAATATGTTCCGGGTTAAATTCATATAGGATATTTCTTTATATTTGTAAGTTAATCAAACAGTCAAACTTAACAACGGCAACATTGTTTAGTTTTTATTATTTTTTCTGAACAATGAAAAGTTGAAAAGACCTTTGACTTGTTACATATAAGAGTTGCTTTTATGGTGCAAAAATGTAAATTAATGTTTATTTTATGGCCACTAAGTACGAAACTCAAAGGATACATCACAAAAGTGGAATTTCCACATTTATGAACCGTGAAAAAACAAAATTATCCTTCAGAAAATCTTTTAACGCACTCTTGATCCTAGACTTTTGTTGTTTATTTTTTTATACCGTACATTATACTAGGTTATTGCTGAGTTTTGCTCCAAAGCTCATTACATAACCTCACACTAACAAGTAAATATATTTTATCGTATTACATAAATATAGCAACAGCTATTGTTACAAAATGTTCACTTAAATACTCGTTAAACACAAGTTAGAATATTTAAGTTTAAAAACTGTAAAACCAGACTTTATGAGTCATAAATTTTACGCGGTATATGAAATCCTTGTAACCAAATGTAAGTACTTAATCATTCAGTTACGTCGGATGCAAAGGAGATAAATCAATTCTATGACACTGAGGAGGGAAGCACCGAAAAACACTCCACCGATACCACCCATGTCAACTGAAACAACATGGATTTTTATTAAATATATTAAGAATTTACTTTAATAAACTTTGTTACATGAAACATCAAAAAAGAAATATAGGAAGTTATTCTTATATTTAGTAATGGACTGGTAATGATTGCTTTGTTAAACTTCACATATTGATATCATTATATAAGAAATATTTGATATTACTTCGAAATAACCTTTAATTAAACATAGATCTGTTTTTAGAATAAATAAATGAAACATAAACGTAAGTGCCCTCACCAACAAGTTTCAGAGGAGTCGTGATTGCTAATCTTCTCACACGCAACGAAGGCAAATTTGTAAAACGTACTTTAATCATAGTACCTAGCCTTTGTTGTTCCGTCATTGTAGTACTTACTCGTCTAAAACGTTAGAGACATTTTGGTTAAGTAAATTAGATTGATTGCCAAAATATTTACAAAAAGTTCCAAAGCTTTATTTCCTGCAATGGAATATAGTGGAATGGAAAAGACTATTGTCTTGATGAGTATGGCGAGTATGAAGTCAATTCAATTTCAGTTATGCATTTGAATGCAGCAAATATGGGTGTGCTGGAAACACAAATATGTAGTATTCCACTTACCTTGAAAAAACATGGATAGCGTCGTAAATAGTTTCCTCGCAGGCCATTGGACAAGCGCACTTTTCTTTTGCAAAATTTACTATATAATCTATTAGAAAGGTATTTTTATGAGGTTAATAATAATAATAATAATAATAATAAATCTTTATTTCGAACACATAGTCCATGGGGTACAAAAAAAAATATAATAATAATAAAATAATAAAAAAATAAATAATAATAAAAAAATAATAGAAAATAAATTAAGATGGAATAAGTACATTAAAAATAATATATTAATATAGCCAATCCTACTTATGTTATTAAAGCGAATTTTTTTCATGATATAATTTAAATTTATGAATTGATATTTGTTGCACTTTAACAGATTTTGATGAAACTTTCGAGTAATGTCTGTTTAGATATCAGAATAAGACATACACTGTAACTTATCTCAATATTTTATCAATACTACAGGATCGATATTGTTGCCGGTTAGTTACTATTTCTATGGTATTCACAAACTTTTAACATTTCTCTCTGAACCTAATTCCGGAGTTCAGGCCGACGAATGCAGAGACAAAAAGAAGTAAATATATTAAAGAAAATAAAAATGAAATATATAAATGGAACTACTTACTTCTTTTTATGTATAAGCAATTCAGTCCCAGAATATTGCATGCTGGTTTATTGACTGTAATCAAAAATATCTAAATTAAATTAGATGAAACGAAAACTGGAAACTATTTTTAACTAATGATTAAATAGAAGATAAGGTTAATCAAATGTTAAATTTGTTCTTTGTATGAACAGATGTTTAGTTAGAAAACGAGAGGTAAAACTGTATTTCATTAAGATTTAATGAGATTGGATCCTTAGTTCACGATTACCATAAGATCGAAGTATCTAAGATATTTTAGGTATCTCGATAACCTTACATCTTATTATTTAGATTACTTTTATTAGAAAGGTACAAACAGTAACTTATTTAGTCCTTGGACAACATTTTAGTAAAAATATAGGGGGCCTCAAACATTTTGATAGAAAACTTACCTATTTTTGCTAAAAAGTGATGTGTACAATTACAACGATTCATTTGAGCAAGCGCCCTGCAATACAAAATGCAAGCACTCCGGGTGTAATATTCGAAGGGCCAGTCAGGGAAAGAAGGTCGCTCATCATCGAATAGACAGTCTCGTGATGCCTCGGATAGAGTTTTAACTGATTCGTCATTAATTGTTGGTTCAGCCTGAATTAATTGTTTAAGAAAGCTGTATTTCGAACATAAAAACTAACTTATTACGCCATTTAATAAACCTATACAAGAACATATTTTTTATTGTATAGTGACAAGTTTGAAGTACCGAATGTTACAAAATGTTAGTCGAATTTAATACCGGTAAAAATTAAGCTCAAAGATTCCGTTACTTACATATAACCCAAGCTAATAAAATACATACCCAAATACCTACTTTAACCTTATGTTATCTTACCCTCAGCATTACATCCATCTCAGTAACCAATGGCACTGATTGAACTTGTAATATGTTTAACATTCCGCCTGAAACAATATCTCCAGGAGCGTGAATCCGTACCTAAAATTCAAATATATTTTTATAAACCTCTCACCCAAGTTCTTCTTACAAATTTTACGTAAATAATTACCGCTACAATTTTTCTGACGTGAAATACTAAATCAGGCAGGCCGATTGTCCTATTAACTGTCAATAGACTAGCGTTATTTAAAAGAGCAGAGTTAAAAACATAACAGCTACCAAACTCGGTTTCTATTGGTTGAAACCTAGAAAATATGTTATTAATTAAAAATTTTACTGAAAACAATTTCATAAACAAGTCCATAAAAGTCGTTTAACATAATATGCATTTCTTTTTATTCAAAGAAACATCGTAGAAAATTTCAATTTACTTATCACAACAATTGAAATCGCTTCCACCGAATTTGCATTCTGTAAACAATTGTGAACAACCCTGTCTTATTTCAGGGATGGCGCTCGTGAAATCTTCAACGCAACTATCATTTAATTTGCAAATCGTGCAAGACGTGCAGTATTTGAGATCCCAAAACGATACCTCGTGGAAAAATTTTGTGGCATTCGTTGATATATTATATCTGTAATATTAAATAAATGAAATCTTTTCTTAGTAATTACAATTATATCTCTAGAAAGCTACTAAATAAATTATTTCATTTAAACTATTTATAGCATATACTGAAATACATAAACTTAAATTGTAGCATACAATAAACACGGAAATAAATAAATATCTTTTCTAAAATGTTTTTCACACACATGAAAAGGAATGTATGCAATATCTGAACAGATATTTATATATTCGTGTGTGTGTGTGTGTGAGTGTGTACCTATGTTTGTCTGTATAAATAAAGTATCTAAGTTTACAAACAGTATTCTTTTTCTAAAAGCAGACATGTATATTGCTGCTAGTTTTTAAAATTCATACATTCAGAAATATTTATACTTCTAGTTTTAATATTGAAAATCTCTAAGAAATACATTTAGAGAATAGAATTTGTTTTCAGAGACTTAATGTTTTGGACATGGATTTTTCTATACGACTTGTTCAGTTTTGTTACCGCCCTTTTGAAGTTAAGAATGAAGAAAAAAGACAAAGGACATGAAGACAAGGATATAGGGATAATTACTAAAGGAGATTATATCTATCGACCCTTTCAACAGAAGCGATTCAGAGCTTAGAAGATTTTTAAAGGAATAGTATGCATTAGAATTTGATTATTTATTATTTTATTTCGACTTTAAAACAAAACGTTCCAATTTCACAATTATTTCTTTAATAAAATGACGATTTTCTAACAAAAAAGCTATCAGGTGATTTTGCTTTTTTTAAAAAACAGGCTCTATTTTAATTGCAATGACGGCGTACTTATTTACACAATATTTAATTACTCATTATAGGCATAATATCATTTTCAAATCCACATTAAAGTTTAATAGCATAGCTAGTTGAGGGTTATATGAAAAAAATATTGGAATTATGAAAAAAGTTAAAATATCTTAAAAAGTAGAAACCAAAATGAGATAGAATGATGGCACATAACGGCATCAATTGTTAAACCGAAATGAATCTGCCGTAATCAAATCTCACGTTATTTTTTCATCACAGCACTTACTTCTTCAGGTACTGTTTAACCGCTTCCATATCCGTATGCTTGCAAACAGTAACCGCTGGAAATGGTGTGTTCCACTCCAGGTTATTCGTTTCCACAACATAAGCACCAGCCCCAGTGGATAATATATACAAAGATGACTTTAGTATCTCCCAAGCACCAAAACAGCACATACATAGAATTATGAACCAGAAGAATCTTAAAACGTTCAGAACTAAATTCTAATTATAACAAAGTACGTGGATAAATCCCTCCAAACGCTGGTAGTAAAACAAAATAAAAAAGGATCATAGAAAATCTCTATAAACAAACTCAGCAGAAGCTGTCATAATTCCTACTATATAAATATAAATTCTTCTACAAATATAATAATGAGCAGCAACATTCATGTTGTTGTTTGAAATATTAACTCTAACTCCTGTGTATTAAGGACAAAGTGTGACAAACCATGTGTTCAGATATTACCTTTTGAAATACGGAATCTTTGACATTGAGAAAACATATCCCACACCGTGCAGGTTGCTCATATCACCAAAGCGATGGACCTTATATTTTATTGTCGAGATGATTGAGGACGATACTTTGAATACGGACATCTTCAATACACATAAATAATAATTAATATAATAATACAATTTTCTATTTACGTCAACAACGCCTATACAATAATAAACATATTTATCAGTGAATTTATTTGTGATGTAATTTTCGTATTTGGTGTTATCTTCGTAATTTTCAACTAAATATTTATTTAGGAATGAAAAACACAGACTGCTGACAAATAATAAGTTCACAAAAATCGTGATAAATGAAGCTTAATGTTCATTAACACGTTCGTGAGTTGTATAAATGCATTTAACATGTAACACATAAACCGATTGAATTATGACAGCTATTAAAATATATCAACATATGTACAATACTAGCGTTAAATAAAATACCGGTTAAAGTTAACAATGAAATGTACACGATTCGCAAATTTTATATTATTATTAAAATAGATCTAATCTTATAAAACACAAATTTTTACTTTCTTTTAGAAGTAACATATTGATTTTCACGGTAATATTTGAACCAAGTAAATATATTTCATGGAATACAAAAATATACAATAGCTATTTTTAAATTCTCTCGAGGCACAATCTGTTCTTTCCACGCGACAGTTACCCTCTTTTCTTGTCCCTTGCAGTACCTACCCCAGATAATATATAATCAAATAACTACAAGATATCAAGTAAATGAAATAAAGAACTATACATAGCCATTATTATAAATTAAATTCATAATATCAAATCTTATTTCGTTATAAATAATTATAAGACCAATAATTTAATCTGAAAATCGAAAAAAACATTTAAAAAATCTTTAGTCTTTTAAACGTCGCATTTTATCAAACATTGAAGTGCAAAATATGAAAGTAAAAATCAATACAAAATGTTTCATTTCTTTGTAATAAATATTTGTGTCATAAATAATAATCATGTTTAAAGTGTAATAATAAAAAATAAATAGCATTTAAAACCCCTTACGCATTAATTGCATTGTGATTAAACTATTAAATTGGTACGCCTGAGGCTAATCGAATAATCATACGCCAAAAATCTTTTAAACATTTCATATTTGAGCTGATATTTATAGTCTGTTAAAACAATATTAACTAGACATAACTAAGAACCACCGTAATGAATCTGGCGTTCAAATGATAAAAAAATCATAGGAATATTGTGACCCGTTTAAGAGCTAAAATGCCACAGACACACACACTTATAGACATATAACACCCCTCTTATTGCGTTGCTAAAACACTTTTAAAAAAATTATTGTTATTTATTTAAATAATGTTACATAATTCGGCTACTTATTCACATGGCATCCATTATCTTATCTTTTATCATATTATTTAAGTGTTATATCGCCTAAACAAAGAACATAGTAACTGGGTAAGAAATCATATATCAAATAATAAGAAAATAAAGTCGAAGAAATCCGTACAATTCTATCTATCAAGAGTAGCAATCTGGAATAAAATCTAGCTTCGTAGCCGGTGCCACATCAGCCTAGTTGGTGTATCGGAATCTTCTTGCTAGAGGGTTTCCTTACCCAAATAAATCAGTATTCGTAAAATATTATTCAAAATATCATCCTAACTACATGACGTTCTATATTAAAAAAAGGGTGTTCATATACATATATCCGTTTTGATATTTGACCAAAAACAAATTTTATATTGTTCCAATCAAGGACGAGTTATGCCCCTGACATCAAACAAGGAACGTCATTCCTAAAATGACCTTGACACTACTTCATTAATGCGGTCATAGTGTAATGAGCCAAAGGGTTCTGTTATCACTATTTCGCTCCACGTATTAATAAACTATAGCTCACAAAAACATTATTTGTACATCGCTATCTCTGTCAAGAACTGACATCACCAGTGTAGATCAAGTCGTGGTGACGAACGCGTGGTTACTTACACTTTGGTTATTTTTATAACCTGTTTGTTATGTGATTCTTTTAACAATGATCGCGTTCAATAAAATTAAACCGTTGATAAGATGGAAGCATTTGAGGTTAGAGCGAGCGAAATACAACTCCGGAGTGGGAGTGTTCGGTCATCGACCGCGTCAAAGTAACGATATTGGTACGTCATCTGTATATAATAATATACTATGTGTGTGTAATACCAGTTAGTAGTTCATATTAAAAGTGTGTTCGATACAGTTATGGATACTTTTATGTGAAATCTTCGGGGCTGTGAAATTCGACTTCGGTTCGATTCGTTTTGACTTTCGACGCATATTTGGGTATAAACGACCTTGAAACTGGCGTTGTGTATGTATGTAGATTAAAGAAGCATATATACAGTGCAAATAATAAAAGTACAAATAAACAAGACTTTATTTGAAGACTACTGAGTGTGCAATAAAATATAACCATATTTTTCAATTTAAGTCTCATTTTATATAAGTTAGTGTCCTTGTTGCCATATTTTAATTGTATTAAAATAGGGGGTTTTATTGCAATTCTACAAATATTATTTGTAATCCTTATATGAAGTCAAATATTTTAAGCTATCTGTACTTTCGATCAATTTTAATTTTATATATGTACAAACAGCACAAACAAAAACAATTACCAAATTCTTCTTACGGCAAGAAACTTTACGATTCAGGCTTTTGATTTTTCGTAAGAATAAAACTAATAATTTAACCTACTTACAAACCTAACTATAATTTTGTTACATTTTACGTAGCTACTGAATTATGTTGAACTTAGTTTTGGTTTTCAATTTCATTTATTTTTTGGTTTTGGGCGTCAATAATAATTTGGGCGTTGGTATAATATTTCGGAACCATAGCTTAATACTTAAACAGTTATAATATATTCTCCATACATTTGTGTTTTTATTACTAGTTTTACGACGAACACAAGCGAGGAGCTTTTCGCTTTCAATAGCCGGTCACGTTTCTTATTTATTGTGGGTCCGATAAAGAAAAGGACTTTTATTTAATTCTGACTTATAAAAACATACAATATATTCAATATATTATTTTGATTTGATATTACAGCAAAAGTACTGGATACATCTCAGTCAAATTCGTCAGTTTTATTTTTCAGACACTTGGTTCTTATATAATAAAAACATATAAATTTATTTTGGTTTTAAGAAAAATAACGCAAGTATCATCTAGTAGTATTACAATAAAAACGGTGATCATATTACATTAACTCATTACTTTACGTGTGGTATTAGGAATTACGAAAAAGGAATTTTAAAAATAGTCGAAAGTATTAAGAAAAATTTTATAAGTGGGGCTTACAACTTCTGGTACTTTTAGTTATTAATACATCAATTTCTTACTGTCATTATATTGATTTCCGCTCTAGGAGAATACAACACCGGTCAAATGAACCAAAACACAGGCTAGAATTTTATCACTACACGAGCTCGACTAACTTAACTAGTTCACCATTTTTAAATGAAGGTGACAAATGAGTAGATGGCCTACTTGATAGGAGTTAGTCAACCAGTTAGTCGCCCATGGACATCTGCAACTTAAGAGATGTTACGGATGCCTTGATACCTTAACTGTGGAAGGGCAGCAGACTTTATATATTAATTTGACAGCAATATTAATTTGACCACTGCTATATTAACTTGACCACTTGAACTGGTCTCTACCACCAATCAAAATTCTTGAGACCCATAACAGTGAATGTTATATCCATACTGATAGCATATACAATCGGAAATTCGTTAACATACAAAATGTATGCTTAAAAAAATTTTTACATAAAAAAAGTCAAAATCTAGTTTTAAACAAAAGCTACTTACACATCTCTGTACATATTAGTTCAATATATAATGCATTGAATTACTTTATAACGAAATTATCATCAAATAACTTATTACCTTATTTGTCTTCAGATATACCTCAAGAAATCATCTCAAAACGAAACGAAAACTGTCGGGCGCAACAACTAGTCGATGCTTACCGCAACTACGGCCATCTTCGAGCCACCATAGATAATGTCGACTATGAAAATAAAAATCGGTAATTTAATGCAATGGTTTACAACTTTGTATTCATAAATTTATTGTGACAAAATATTATTACAGTAATAAATTGAAACTAAATTTAGTTAAATATAGTCATAATATTGAATTTAATTCTGTTCTTCTAAAATCATCTAAATGTGTATACAGGGTGACTGGTGAATTACTATCGATATTTGAGGACGTGATATTTGACGATCATATATGACAAAATAAAAATTAATATAACATAAATATTAATAAACTTCTAAGTAAAGTTAACCAAAAGTTATGTAATTAATTACGCATCGTATGAACACCCTACACCTTAGGTATACACACACACACACACACTCGCGCGTCCACACTTGGAACACTCGGAACGTGTACACACTTTATTTATTTATACGGAAATTTGGTTAAAAATTAAGTACCTATTTTTTTTACATAATTCGAATGAGAATCATGTACCGAGTATGCTCCTTAAATATTGATAGTAATTCACCAGTCACCCTGTATAAAAAAGTCATTTTTTTACTGAAATCAAGAACATACAAATCACTGGATATTACATAAATATATCTGACCTCCACTAAATGTATATTAACACAATAATTTATATTTAACATAACATGTATATGTTTGTTCCAATAAATGAATTTACTTTCTACTTAAACCGTTTTCCACATAAAATTCTAGAGGTAAAAATGTGCAATTCTTATACATATATACTTAATAATAATTCTAACCTTTTTAATTAATAAGGCTCAAAACTTCCATATTTACAATAATATTAATTTAATATTAGAAATGAGTTGACTGAAGTTAGTTATAGACTCAATTCATTGTTTCGTTTGACTTTGATGAGAGTAATTATATTGTTCTCTTATACTGTTTGTCTGTAGGCCGTCTCTATGTGTATATCATTTAATTAAAATAATTTGAAACTCATACATAACGAAGAATACCATACCTATTTATATAATTTGAATAAAAAAGATATGTAATATAAATAATTTGCAATGTTCAAAGTGGAAATTACTATTGACAAATAGATTAGCCGTTAAATTTAACTTATACTGAACAAATAACATACAGTATACAGGGTGACTGGTGAATTACTATCAATATTTAAGGAGAATACTCGGTACATGATTCTCATTCGAATTATGTAAAAAAAATAGGTACTTAATTTTTGACCAAATTTCCGTATAAATAAATAAAGTGTTGACACGTTCCAAGTGTTCCAAGTGTGGACGCGTGCGGCGGCGTGCTGATTCAACAAGACGCCGCCGCGCGCGAGTGTGTGTGTATGTGTATACCTAATCTGTAGGGTGTTCATACGATGCGTAATTAATTACATAACTTTTGGTTAACTTTACTTAGAAGTTTATTAATATTTATGTTATATTAATTTTTATTTTGTCATATATGATCGTCAAATATCACGTCCTCAAATATTGATAGTAATTCACCAGTCACCCTGTATATTAAAGTTTGGTTACGGTTCCCGTTTCTATATACAGGGATATCAAAGAGCTTCATCTATCAAGATATGGTTTATCAGGCTCCGACACGGTTGACTTGGGACTGTTATATGGCCACAATGGAAAACAATTTGCGAACGATCTAGTGGAACAATTGGAGAGAATTTATTGTGGTCCCATATCTTACGAGTTCAGTCATTTGGAGGTAGATTATATTTATTTCTTCTCTTCATTTTTGACATATGTAGGTATGTTATTATGATAAATATTTTGGGTACTGAATCTGTTGATTGAAATGTTAGTCTCAAATAAGATCATATAAAATAGAATCTCGGTCATAGAATTGTTTTTAAGATAATAAGATCTCATTAATATTCAAAAGTTAAAATTTTATAAGTGACGTTCTTTATTGTTGAGTTTTGATGTGAATTTTTATTCGACACCATTTATTTCTCATACAACCAAAAGTAATTTAAGAAAGTTAAGTGTATAATTTTTTGGTGCTATGGCTTCATTCATACTGGAATCGTGGAAGATTGTGCCAAAGCCCACTTTTTTATTTGGTGTATTATATAATATTATTAAGTGCTGTACGGAGAAAACAAGAAGGGGTTTATCGAATTGTGTGTTAATTTATTGTTTATATCCGAAAGTGAAACTCTGTATTTTAACACTCTTATATTTTAAGGCATATGTAATAACATATAAGTAAATACATATTTATATTATGTATATACACAGACAGAAGCCGAAAGGGAATGGTTCTCACAGAGAGTTGAAAGTGGTTCAGATGTTGTGGCTAAAGAACGTCAGATCGAAATTTTAAAAGAACTCCTACACTCACAAGCGTGGGACAAATTCCTATCAACCAAATTACCATCGGTGAAGCGGTACTGCGGGGAAGGCGCTGAGTCTTTATTAACTTTCCTGTCGACTTTGTTCCGACTGACAGCCTCAGGTGAGACTTTGAAACATCAATAAAGGCATTATTAACGACTCGACCTGAATAACACATTCGTTAAATAAAAATCGATCTATACATTTTACGGAATTTTAAATCAATTGAACAATTTTAAAGAATTTCAATTATAATAATAAAATGAAAAGATATCAAATGCATTTTGGAAAAAACAATTAAATAACTTAATAAAATGCAAAAATTAAATAGAAACATGTATTTTTCCTTCACGTTAAGGACATTAACGTTTTTATATATAAAACATCTTTAAGAACGTGTATTTTTTTAGGAATTACCTATTTAGTTGATAAAATAAATTATACCTGTCGGCCGCCGTTCACTTTATCTTTCGTTTAATCTAATAAAGACTTAAAATATCTGAATCCCTAAAGTGGTTTTGCTAAACGATTTTATTACGCTAAATAATCTCCTAAGAATAATATTAAGAGAAAATCTTTTTTTAATATTGAGGTTAGATACATAATTATATCTAGGTGCTTATATTAACTTACTAAACATAATCCATAATTTCTGATGTCTACTAAGATGTAGTAACTAAAAACATTGATGTTATTGTTTAACCAGCCTCAAACAAAATAATAAGAGTAAAACTTGTAGGTGTGTATTTATTGTAGGACTATATTACTTTAAAATGCTATAGAGCAATTTAGAAAATAAATGATTGTCAAACTTTTTCCAGAACAATTACAGCATGTGGTAGTAGCAATGGCACACAGAGGCAAACTCAACGCACTGGGTTGTCTTCTAGGAGTTCCACCTGTGAAGATATTCCACAAACTAGCCGGCAACCCTGAGTTTCCCGATGAAGCTAAAGCCGCTTGCGACATAGCCACTCATTTAAGTAAATACCGCTTCAAATGTTTGAACGATACTTCATTTAAAATAAACTGTGACTTGATATCTATTAAACAATGTTCTCTTTATATAATTCTTTCTTTTGAAGTAATTTATTGGAAATGAAAGGTTAATCAACAAGTTATCGAAATATTGCTATCTCATTAATATTTTATATTTTGCAGGTGTTTCCAACGATATAACAGTCAATGGCAATAGTGTTAGATTCTCTTTAATAAACAATCCATCACATCTCGAGGTAAATTTACACAGTATTTCAATGTAGATTACAGTTATTTCTCTCTTTTCTTGTAAATTTTAAAACGGAATAACTCACAGGCCGCCAATTCTGTGTCGATGGGAAAAACGAGGTCGAAGCAATTAAAGTTACGAGAAGGCGACTATTCTGAAAACAGTACTTCACGATTTGGCGACAAAGTTTTAAATGTTCAGGTAATTCAAATATTTATAATAGTCATTGTTCTCTAGGTCAATAGCCACATAACGACTTTATCATTGAGTGAAAGAGTAAGTGAATTATTTAAAACAACATTCGTGATTACTGACATTAAACTGGAAATTCTTCAGCCATTTTTAAATATACGATAACATTCCTAAAGCAGAAAGTTAAACAGAAATGCCTCTCTCGCTAGATACATGGTGATGCAGCTTTTGTTGGACAAGGAGTTAATCAAGAGAGCCTTATGTTTTCAAAATCACCTCACTTTGACGTCGGTGGAAGTTTACATGTCGTGGTTAACAATCAGGTAAGATCCTTACAAACATTGTAAGCAATTATGATAATTTTATTATTTGCTATTTGTTTTAGCTACGAGACTGAGAAAAATTGGTCCAAAAGAATAAATATTTAGTTGATGAACATAAATTCTGAATCAATTACAAAAATTATAAAATTAACTGTTCAAAACGAAAAAATATTTTAATAGCCTCGTTATTATTAATTGTCCAGATTATGTTCGGAAATATTTTAAAAATATGTTACTTGGTATATCGTTACTAGGTTACTTAAGTATCAACACGATAAACCAAAACCAAAAACCAATCAAAACGATTACAAACTTTATTAGTTTTATAAATAAACTAAACGAAAATTTTTTCGTATATTATATATAAAAAATGTGAGCTCCTTTCAGAATTCAGAAACCCGGATGGTCTAACAAAAAATACAATGAACCTTTCAGTCGCGTGACGATTTATCTTCATTAATAATATCGTTTTCACATTTGGACATAAAAGATATTTTTCTTGACAGTATTCAAATAAATCAGTTTTGTGAATTGAATACGAATAATCATGATATATGTAAAAAAAAGTGGTTATGATGATATAAAAATATTTTCTTTTTTTAGCCGTATGATAAATTAATTTTTTGAAATATGTATACCCTTATTAACCCAATGAAAGTCAAGAGATTGAAACTGGTGTAACTGTCAAAAATAGCTATTCAGTTTAGTGACATAAATCTCTAAGATTAAATGCAGAAAAGAATGTTAACTGTTTCTCCTATATACGAAAATAAAACTAACAATATTATTTTGCAACTTTGTATTTTGTAATTTATTTTTTGATGGTTTATTTTAATTTAGTTAGGATTCACACTACCAGCGAGCCGTGGACGTTCCAGTCGCTACGTAACAGATTTGGCTAAATCAATAGCCGTCCCAGTTATTCACGTCAATGGAGACTATCCTGAGGTCAGTTTATAGAAATAAATATAATATATGATTGGAAACAGAATTAAAAGGATATTTTTAACTTCAAGATGTATTTTTGTATGGATATATTCGAAAAATCTATGTGTTTGAATACTGACTTCAGCAATGTTTATGTACTGTTACGATATGACTTCCACAATTTTCTTTAAGTCCATATAAAAGACGACATAGGTTAAGTACCTATAACTCTAAAGGTTAAAATAAAATGTATAAATTTAAATAATAAAATTTTTGTAGCTTGTGGAAAAGGCAACGAATATAGCGTTTGAGTACCAGAGGAAATTCCGCAAGGACGTTTTCATAGATTACAACTGTTTCCGCAAATGGGGTCACAATGAGCTTGACGACCCGACCGTCACAAACCCTCTCATATACAAAATTATTAATAAAAAACAGTGAGTATATATTTCTTTGGTCACAATTCTATGTACTGATTTATTAAAATTCTGAAAATGACACTTTTTTCGCTGAGTGTTGACAAATTTGAGTACCGAAAATTATTTTGATTTTAACTTCTTTCTAAAATAATACTTTATTCAATTTAAGGATATCATAAAATTTTATTGAAAATTTAACAAATCATCTAAAGCATTCTTATTGATGTTGTACAAAATTACATGAATATACCGCACGCCTATCCCCATAAAAAATTTAACACATACAAATAAAGCCTTAGGTTAGTACATGAAGTGCGTTATATTTATAGTTACAATTCCTTTGAAATAATTAATAATAATTCCAATTATGATTACAGATCAATACCTGATCACTATGCAAATAAACTTGTATCAGAAGGTATTCTAACTGAAGCTGAAGTCGAGAGCATAACAACAGAATTCACGAAGTATTTACAATCGCAATTCGAACAACATCATTCCTACCAGCCGGAGGTAAAGCGCTCATTCATTCCTATCATATTTAGCTCGTTGAAGCGATCAGCATTCTGATATTGCTTCAAAGAAATACAACGTCTAGTAAAGAATATGTATTGTTATTGCAATTCGCTGAGAAAGAGAAAAAAATAGAGAAAAGGTAAAATCACATGACATTCTTATTTTATAAGTCAACAAGCTTTGCCCTGCACAGTTCGCTGTGAACAACAAACGACAGTTTTATTTTTCAATCACCTTTACCTCTCAAAGGCTCCGTAAAAATCGTTGCTATGTTCTTCATTATTTTTTTTACTGCGAGCCTTGTGTCGTTGTACTTTTGACTGATTAATGGGGCACTTAGGAGTATGTTAGTATCGTGAAAAAAAAATAAAAATGATCATGGTAGCTTGCTGTATATCATGTCAAAATTACAGCTGAATCAGTGTAAAACATTTTCAGTTGTTGAAGCGTACACAAACTTAACATTTGTGTATATAGAATAAGGTTGTTAATAAGTTAACTTATCGCTTGACTATCAATCGAACATGCAATTCATTTTAGGTATCATATTACCAAGATCAATGGTCAGGAATGAGTGCTGCACCACGAGCTGTGGAACTCTGGGGTACTGGTGTTGACACTGAAATGTTAAAGCAAGTCGGACGAGCTTCTGTCATTGTACCTGATGATTTTGTAAGTGTTAATATAACAGTATTATGAAAATCAATATTATTTATGTCACAAATAATAGCATTAGCGGATCGAAAGTTAAGTAGGGGCTGCCGAAAGCTGGGCATTTAATTATTAACTATGACTATCCTTAACCTACGACAGTATCGTAATACTTTATATGCTTACGTTCACAGTCTTTAAAGCGGTTTATATTTATTATCAGTGTCTAGTTATATGAGGCAAGTGTGCGATGTTAGCGAGAGAACAAATATCCATGTATATTATGCACGATGTACATTGTACATAAATGCACCCCACGCTTTTTACATTAATCTAATATCTTTTACGTATCACTCTTATCTCTCTCTCTCTATATCTCAATACTATTAATTTATTCAAAAAAATTATCAGGTTTATAGTAGGATATGAATTGAGATAGGAGAATTACTTCATGTATAATGTGACTATGAAAACTGGATAAAATGTACTTGAATCTCAGCTACTTATTTATTCGAAACTATTGCTTACTAAATTAATATGTGTTTGTTTATAATTCAAATTAAACGTTTAATATTCACACGTATTAGTAATCATCGTTATAATTAAAGCAAACATTAATTTTGTGGACAAAAAATATTATAAATTCAGTACAATTAAATCATTTTACTGTCACAGATTAATTCAAAAATACTTTTTGTTATCGAATGAGCGTTAGTTCTATGTTATATATATCTATTTAAAATATAGTCAAAGAATTTTTCTTTGTAATTCCAATTTCTAAAATTAATATAAATATTAATATTGCATTTTTTTTACTTAATGCAGGTCATACATCCACATTTAGCAAAAACTCATGTAAAAAATCGATTGAACAAATTGTCAGAGGAAAAAGGACTCGACTGGGCTACAGCGGAGGCTCTTGCTTTTGGTAAAAAAAATTATAATAAGTATACTTCTTTCAAATAAAAATAAGATTTTCATATATACTACGGCTCATAAAATGTCATACCACATTCTTATCTCCTTTGGCCGGTTGCTGTAAAGGAACCGAAACGTCTGGAGTATATGCAGATATGTATATGTAGTTTTTAAAGACACGTAGAATATTCGAACACATTAGTTTTATTTAAACGAATACTCGCGAAAATCTCAGACATCATTAAATATATGTACTTATTGCTTCTTCTTACTGACATATAAAAATTAAACTACTATACGGTCAAGGTCAACTTTGTTTCATAACTAATACTTTTAAAATATTTTAGGATCATTGCTAATGGAAGGCCGGAACGTTCGCATTAGTGGAGAAGATGTTGGTAGAGGTACCTTCGCTCACAGACATGTTATGTTTGTAGACCAGGAGACAGAGAATATACACATCCCACTGAACCATATACACGAGGATCAGAAAGGGTTTTTAGAGGTTTGATAATAATATACAACTAAAAATTAGAATGATTTTGAAGTAATGCCTAAATACTTTGAAACAAATATATTATTACTTTAAAGGTGGCAAATTCAATTTTATCTGAAGAAGCTGTATTGGGATTCGAATATGGGATGGCATTTGATTCGCCTGAAAATCTTTGTTTATGGGAAGCACAGTTCGGCGATTTCTATACGGGAGCGCAGATTATAGTTGACAATTTCATTGCATCTGGTGAATGTGAGTATATAAAATAAGAATCATATTATATATTCTCTCGTAATTTTTCTTCTCATTTTTATATAAAGGTACTAAAGAAAGTATATAAAACATTTAAAATCGTATTCTTGTACCTGGCTTCTTTAATGTACTTTTACGATCATCTTGAGAAACCTTAACTTATCTAACATTGTGTCGAACTGAATAGAAAAGCACTTTGACCGGGTATTGTTACCATTATTATCGAAAGGTTGAATACTCAATGGAAAATTTTATATTCATACCATTATAAAAGCAATATCGTGGAAATTTTAAAGCATTTACGTTACAGAGATGCAATAAATCAAGTATCATTAATATTCAAATACATGCATTATTCATATCTAATTTACCGACTTTAACCTAAAAGAGTGATATGCATAATCCTTGAAAATGGTTTCACTAATTCAGATTAAGATAAAAACGTGTTTTTTAAGCGAAATGGGTTCGCAGCAACGGTCTAGTGATGTTACTTCCACACGGTTTCGATGGAGCAGCATCTGAACATTCCTCGTGTAGGATGGAGAGGTTTTTGCAGCTAACAGACAGTTCAGAGATAAGCCCAGACTCTGAAGCTGTGAACATGAACGTTGCGAATGCCACAACACCAGCTCAGTACTTCCATTTGTTAAGGCGACAGGTTAAGAAACCTTATACTAGCAGAAACTGCAAATTTATATATATAAAAAACCTCAATAATATTATAACAAATATTCCAGATGGTTCGAAACTACAGAAAACCGTTGGTAGTGGTCTCACCAAAAACTCTTCTGCGGTTGTCTGAAGCGACATCCAACTTGTCAGAATTCGCACCCGGAACACACTTCAAGCCTGTTATTGGTGACAGCACAAGCATATTACAATAAATTTTATTAATAAACTAGTTTATAACATATTTCTTTAATGTTCAGGTGATCAAATTGCCGATCCATTGAAAGTAAAAAGGGTGTTTTTCGTCAGTGGTAAACATTATTACGAATTGCACAACGAACGGTTGAAAAATAAAATTGATGATGTCGCTATTGTGAGAGTAGAATTGCTTTGTCCTTTCCCGGTGCAAACAATACAAGTGGAATTGCAAAAATATACTAACGCTAGAAGTGAGTGTATATTAATATTTAGTGTATATTTTAAGCAAACCTGATTCATAAGCTCAATAACATTTTGTAACAAAATAATATACTTTAAATAATTATTATATTCATATTCGTATATGGTTTTTATAAGAGTAACTTTTTTAATCTTTACCATGAAAATGTATGTTAGCATCCCTTAAATATTTTATTAAAAAGTTCACATTTCTGTCTAAGCTTAAAGAGAATTATCCAAATAAAATATTCATGAAGTGGTTTTCGTGGCTGTAAATTCGAAATATAATAACTTTATAAATTGAGTTTAAGATATATTTCGCCATAAATAATCTCAAATCTGTAAGACAAAGACTAAGTGATGTACTATCTCCACAAAAATATAACTTAAATACATTTAGAAATTTGTTGTGAATGAAAATTTATTTCGTCGTCATTCATAAGGATTAATATTAGAAGTTCACGACGTTTTTTCATCTTGAATTCTATAAGAATATTATAAAAATACTAATCCATAGACTTTATACGCACGGCATTCTGAATATCTTCGTCGTTTTTTGAATTGGTTTAACTGAAAGCTTATGAATATGCAAAAATTCATGTAAATCCTATAACAGTATGTGCGTGACAATTGGAGTTTTATCTATGGCAGAACAAAAAATAAATTAAAATGTTTTGTTAGAGCCTCGATGGAAGTTTGTTTTATGTGTTGTCTAAACTCAGACAACACCACAGTATGTTATGTATATTTTTCTGCTATGATTATACGTACACTGGTGAAAGACGTCATGTGAAACATTTATAATACTGGTTTATTCAGACACTTTATTATTTTTAGAATTCATATGGTGTCAGGAAGAACATAGGAATATGGGTGCGTGGAGTTTTGTCAAACCACGCTTTGAAAATCTTGTCGGGAGAAAGGTGAGCAATGACATTATTATTTAACATTACTATCTTATACTTACAAAGTAAGTTTGCAATGTCTCAATCTCAAGTGTTTTTGCTTCGAAACTTACTCGAGTACATATTATTATTTCGAAACTAATTGTTTATTTTGGAGAATACATAATATCAAAATCTACCATTTTTACCAACAAAGAACTTTAAAAAAATGTGTAAAATATCGCTTTGTAAGCTTTAACGGCCTTTGACGTCAACGCTCAAAGAAAACCAAACTATTGAATTTGCAATTCAAACCGTTTGAAAGAATATTATACAGATATAAATTATATCTACACTACTAAATTCAACTTCTTTTTAAAACATTTTAACCAATCAATAGATTCCAAATAATACGTTTTAATCTTTGTATTGGGATCTTATTTCTAATATTAGTTCAAACTAAAGAAAACAATAGAAAATAAATAAAGAACATGTTTTGTTATACAAAAAGGAAATCTTATTCTTATGTATTATACGTGTAACAATAGAGTTATACTTCTAAATATAATCTTAACAATGTATATTTTATTCTTAGTTTCTCTTTATACTAACAAATGTTTCTGCTGATATATAAATGGGAATATTGATCATTTTATGACATATTTCCAGCTCCTATACGCTGGTCGTCCTGAAGCACCAACAACAGCAGTGGGAGCACCTAAACTTCACAAAGTGGAAGTTGATTATATACTACGCCAACCATTTTTGACATAAAATAAAATACATTACAGAAAAGACTTGTAACCAGTATGATTTGGTTAATACAACGTTTTTATTGATGTCTATTTTGTGATCAACGTGCATTTCGTTGCAGCATTTATTTAATTTATAATGGAAATAAATTTAATGTAATTTTTAAGATAATAAAGCTTTTATTTTTATCATATTCTTTTGTTTCCTATTGACAACAGTCTTGTGCCTGTCTGTAAAGTCTCTAAAAGTAGTGTATTGAGAATGTCAACTATGTCGTGTTCCACATGGAAAGATAACATCTGAAATAAAAGAAAAATATAAGTCTTCTCATTATTTAAATAGTATAAGACAAATTAAGAAGGTGAATTATAAATTCTCATTAATTCATTTAATAATGGTTAGGTACGTATGTTTAAATTTGATTAGTTTTTGTTTTCAAATTATGTTATAATCACTAAGCTATGAAAATAAAAACTATATGAAATCTATTTTTAATTTAGTCATTAGACTTTCATGAAATGTGTCTTTTCTTTGAGTTTTTATTTCATATACAGGAAATTCTATCAGAATATCAAAATAATATCGTAATCACATCACGTTAAATTCAAATTTTTATTAATTTTTAAATCAAAAATTAAAAAACTAGAACTAAATATAACAGTTTATATATTCGGATGTAGGTACTACCTGTTTTTTTGTAACTATGTACGTCAACATGACTCCTGTCATTATGACAATTTGAGTAGATAAAATTAAATAAGTTACTAATTGGTCAAATTAGTAAGCTTTTTTAAACTTCAGCCCAAAAACAAATCCTTACTAAACAAATGTTTAACGTAACATTAAAAAAAGATAGGCCTTGAATACATATGTTGTATGACATACATAAACTTTAATTTAAAAATATAAAACAAACAATACTAAATACATATAAATACCAGCTTGCGGTCTTCGAACTGAGCTCAGGTTACTTTCAGAAAAGAGATACTGCTTAGAAGGCTTAAGTGACTAACCTAATTTAATGGGTTGGATCACGTTAATATCTTGGAACCGTACCTTTGAAACTATGTTTATAAATAAAGGTTAAAACAGACTCTGTTGGTTAAAGACTCCTGTATACAGATCAAAAAACTGTTTAATTTTATATCATTGCTATTTTGAAATATTATCAAAATAAAAATTCAAGGAGTTTAGAGTAATCAATTGCAATCTGCTACTTGTTAATTACATTACCCAATTTTTTATAACAAGAAAATAATTGGCCTGTTAGTATAAACAATTATAAACACTTCTGATTATATTTTATGTCAGTGGATTATAGTATGTCAGTGGTGGCCTAGTGGTTAAAAGGCCCGCCTATCATTCAAGAAGGCGCGGGTTCGATCCTGGCCCAGACAAGTACCAATGTGTTTTTTCCGAGCCATATGTACTTTCTAAGAATATTTAGACATCACTGATTAAGGCATTCCCAAAGAGGGTTGATGTCAGGCAGGCGGCTGGTCGTAAAAACAATTAGCCAAAACTATTCACAACATGTAAGGTAGGCAGACCCTGGCCAAAGCTGGGAAATTGCCAGGTAGAAGAATTATAAACACTTTTGAATATTTATATCATTGTTTTATATGACACGTCTGATTAATTATTATCTATACATATAATAAAATTGTAGAAAAGTGCTGTCTGTACATTGAAAATAAAAATAAAAAAAATAGCAGGGGTTATTGTTATGTCGATGTCGAACCCAAAAATGTAATTAACTTTTTTTTTGTCTGTTTGTCTGTTCACGCTAATCTCAGAAACGGCTGATCCGAGTTGGATGCGGTTTTCACTAATATATTGTGGTATGCTTCAGTTATGCTTTAGTGTATGTTTCATGCAAATCGGTTCATAAATAAAAAAGTTATGTTAAATTAAAGAACTGAAGAACTGCGTTCAATATTCGACCGGGTGTGTTAATTGTATGTGGCTCTGTCCCGTGTTAGCAATCCCAGCAGCCTGTATGCTTTCACCCCCGATGGCCATACGTCTAATATTGTATATAGAGAAGAATTACAGTAAAGTAGGTTTTTTAGCTACCCAAAATGACTGTGATTATGATCCAAAATATAAATAAGTATATATTTAAAAAAAACGCTGCTCGTAGTCATTATTCCACGCGAACGAAGTTGCGGGCACAGCTAGTTATTATTATATTTCGTATATCTAAAACCCGTAACTATTCAAAAAATGATAAATCTATTTTAATAAGAAAAACATTACATAAAATCTATTTAATTTAACTCATTTCAATTTATTAATAAAGTTTATATTTAAATGAATAATTTTTGGTTGTAGACAACGCAAGCTTTATCTAAAAGATAATATTTCCTTCGCCTATTCTCTGATTTGAAGTCAATGTTGCCAATTATTATTATTATAAAACATCATAATTGAAGACCATCACTACTTTAGCTTTTTTTATTGTAAAACCTATGAATTTTCTTATTATGTTATACTTCTATTTGTTATTACTTTAATTTGATACCAAGTTATAACTAAGATTCCCTCTTCACAGTTGAATCGTCTTATAAAATAATTTTATAGTTCACGAATATCATGTTTTCCTGAGCTATAAACTAGATTTAATGCAACCGTATTCGTTTCCAAGACTCCGCACAATATTCTTATTAAGTATAAGTTTGTGGGTCAATATAAGTTATTTTGTTTACTTGGATTTCCACGGAAAAACATTTAAGAAGTTAATTTTCGAAAATAACTTGTGTTTAAAACGTAGTTAAAGTTATGTATTATTTTTTTCATCTGTACCATACGTTCGTTATTGAAATACGATCAAATAAGTTGAGTGACATTATATTTATTGATAACAGTAGTTTTTGAAAAAAATAAAAGCAAACAAAATGTGTTTGATGACTTCACTCAACTTTTAGAGTCGTTATTAAAGTCCATCTTCGGATCACACATACCAGGTTTGAGAGCGGACCAAAAAAAACATACAAGACTACAGACAACAACCTTTTCAAAGCCAGATAGATCCGAGATTTACCATGCTTAAAAAGTGAAACCCACCGGCCAACAATATACGAGTATATCAATATACAGATATCTAGATATTTTAATTAGTAAACCAGTTATTAACATTATTTTAAAGTACCAAACGGTTTACGATGGAAGTTAATGTGAATGTTATTACACAAAATGAATTCAGATATGAGGAAAAAAAATCTCCAATTCCTTGCTAAGTTGACGACGTTACAACCTTTATTTTTGTAACTAGCTTTTGCCCGTTGCTTCGTCCGCGTGGAAAAGTGACTTCTGGCAGAAAATTTTGATGGCTATGCCCGCAACTCTGTCAGCGTTTAACTCCTTGTGTATTAAGTTAATGTATTGGTAATATTTATTATAATTATTTATAGTGTTATTGTGAGTCAACAATAAAAGATAGACATATGCCGTCGAAGAATAGTTTTTATATAATTTTAAGGAGAATATTTCCATCGTACATGATTTCTATTTAACTTTAACCTATAAGCCTGCACACGTGACGGATGCTTAAAAAAGAGAGTAACTTCTCCCGTTTTCCCAATATTTCCCTTCACTGTTCTGCTCCTATTTGTCGTAGCGTTATGAAAAGTACTATAACATGCCCAAGAGTATAAAGAATAATTATGCCAAATTTCGTTAAAATCCGTTCAGTAGTTTTTGTTTCCATAACGAATATACAGACATGCATTTTTGGCATCAGTAGTGATCCCTAACCACCCTCTGATAGTTATTTTTTAAATATATTTTAGGTACAGAATTGATCGCTCTACAGATTTATTATAAGTATAGATTATGTTTCATCGTTATATTCCCTTATATTTTACAAATTTCAGTATACTTACAATTAACTTCCTATTGAGTTAAAACATACTGTTATAATGTTTCAATTTTCTCAACAGTTGCACGTCAAAGAAATATTCTTAATGAGTAATGAAAAATATTCTGAACGAGTCCATTCAAAGTTTAAAATTATATGAAAGTTAAATGTATATCATGAACCAAGTGACTGAGAAAACATTTAGACAAAGTGTTCTATAAGAGTTTAAATTCGCATTCAAATCTTCTCATGTAAAAGCAATGTAGCTAAAGATTTTATTTTCAATACTTCTTTGATCTTATATTACTACTTTAAAACATATGTATGTACAGCAACGTGAGTAACCGTCCCTTAAAAGATAAAATACAATGAAAACAACTCAAGTGAAATTGTCATTTTCTTTTTGTATAAAATCTGTATGAATCTAATATATTATTTTAAGAATAAGCTACATTTCTTTATTATACACAATTTGAATTCGTCACTTTCAATTTCAATGATAATAAAAATATATATGAAATCTCTATAGCATTATTATTATATTAAATAATATAAGTCAGACAATAAAGAATTCTGTCTGTCATTTCTTGTGTTGAATTTTAATATTAGAAAATCATATTACGATATTTTACAAACTTAATGAAGCTGTAAATATAATAAAAAATAATAAGAATGATAGCAAAAACGATTAATAATAATTGTTGTTTAAATTTTATTTTCATAACGACCTAGTTCATGTAACTTAATATAATATTAAAGCAGTTGTTAAAGAAATGGTGTTTTAATTATTAAATTATTATTAGCCATTGGATCCATTGTCTTATATTTTTTCTATGTATTAGTTGCCATATACATATATCTTTAATAAGCATATGATTTTCGCACCTAGTTACGAATCAGTTATTCATATAAGTTAAAAGTTTGACACAATTTGGGTCTAGTGCTAGGTATCGAACCTTTGTTGCATCTTAAATGAAGTTCCAAACACAGCAGCTACGAGTACATTGTGTTGTGTACACTTTGACATCACAGCTGTCCTAAATAAATTCAATGTTATCTTAGAGCTGTATGGTTATTAATATCTACTTATAATTATAAACATATAAAAAATAAGCGAAATATTATATTATTTATACAGGGTGACTGGTGAATTACTATCAAT